AACATTGAAAAACTGATTTTTTTTAAAATTATTATCATAATCATCAAAAATAAAATAAGTAAATAAAAATATGACATATTTCACCCTAAATCTGTATAGGATGAGTTGATATGTTGTTTTTATAGCTAAATGAGTGAAGTAAGTTAACTTTTCAGTGGCATCCTGTCATTGAAATGCACTTGTATTCTTTGGCTGTTATAAACCAGGTGTGACTAAAACATGATTTCTCCTTAATAATCTGTGATTCTATTTACCTTTATTTTTATTTCACCTATCAGCCTTTATCTTCATCATAGCCACTTTACAGCTTCCTCTCCCCTCTTAATGCAAAGACAGACACGGTCACATGGCCGCATGTGAAAGGAGTGGTTTAGATTAGCTTTCACTGTTCTCAGATATTTGCTTTTTTTTTTTTTTTTGGATTTCTCATTTTCCTGTATGAGTCAGATTGAATCATGTGACTGTTTTCTAGTAGTAGCTGTTTGTTACATTGTAGTGCAGATTCAGGTTTTGGAGTGTGGCAGCTTCCGGCATGGAAGCTGCGTTTTTCAGTTATCGTTCGTTTGCTTTTTCAGAGGAATCACTTCCTGTTCTTTTGCCGCGCAGGTGATGATGAGAGTGGAGCTGGTGTACGGGGTGACCGGAGTGGTGGGCAGCTTGGTGTCGGGTCATCTGTTCCTGCTTTACAGCTCCAGTCTGGGAAACGGAACCGTCCTGCTCTCTGTGAGCACGCTCCTCAACCTGCTCTGCCTCATATTCGCTGTAGCCCTGCTGCAGGTCAGTGCACTCCCTTCGTCATACCTCACAGTGACAGTTCAGGGTTTCCTCCAGTGTATCATAAGCCTGGCGGGCCTCCAGGTTCCACTTGTGCCACCACCAGGCTAAGCATTGCTTATTCATTTATGTCTTTTTAAAATGTTTGCATTTTTTTAAGACTTTATAGATGGTGTTCAGGTATAAATTTATCAATATTTCAATAACACATAATTATCAAGTGATATTTTTATATTCCCTGTCGACTTTAAAAAAAAAAATTTAACTCAAAAATGCGACGGGCCCTAGCACCCAACCACCGGGTTTAGCAAGTTTTCTGGGGGAAATCTTGCTGTTACATTTGCCAGCTTCATGGCTGGCTTTAGGTAAAAAAGATACAATGCAAAAGTTTATATCCTATAAGCTTTTTCACATTTTCTCATGTTTCCACCACAAACTCAAATGTTTTTTCTAGCGTGACAGATAAAAACAAAGCAGCAGAATGAAACGTACGATGATGCTATTGTAAGTTTTCTGCTACATTTTGCTCGGTTTTGTTCTGTTCGTCCACACGTTTGCCGCTTCCTCTACATGTCTTGTGGCAAACTGCAAAGACTTCCTGTAGCTTCTCTTACCACAATACCAGAACACCAGATTTGTAGAACGCAAGACATCCACCTGTCCTGGCAACAGGTTCTCTCAAACCGCTTAGGCTTTAACAGCACAGAAAACTGCATCATTTTCCTTGCAAATATGAGCCGCTTTGTGATAGCGTCACGTAAAATCAGTAACGTTACCAAGTTGTTGTGTGTTGCAGATTTTCTGCCCTGGTTCCTCTTGCAAAATGAGATATAGATCTCAGTGGGGTTTAATCTGGTTAAATAAAGGAGAAAAATGAAACTACTACAGCATTTCCATTTGTGGCTGTAATATGGCAAAATGTGAAAAAGCTCGAGTACAGCCACAGGTTGTAGTTGTCCAGGTTTCTGATTTTCTGCGACGCTCCCACTGAAAGCACATTTTGCAAATTTCCTTCACAATAACAGGTGAAACGAGTGAACAGCGAGGACCCAGAGGAAAGCTACCACCTCCTCACCCACGCCTCCCGTTACACTCGTCTCGCCGGGTGTTTTACTGGGATAAACATGGTGAACGTGGTTCTCCTGTTTGCGGCGGCCTTTCTCTACGACTTTGCTGTGGGCGGAGCCATAGAGGTCCTGGGCTCCTTTGTGCTGAAATCGCCGCTCAGCTGGACTGCCACACAAGTAACGTCACGTTTGTAATTGTTAGCTAAGTACTTTTTGATACTGTGCTTTCAAACACATGTAAAGCACAGTATCCTTCAACTGTGCTTTAAACGAGTTTCTTTGTTCTCTCTCGAGGTGGGATACGGAAATGCGGCGGGCTGCGGGATTTTCGTCACCAGCTTCCTTGGCGTCATCATGTTCCGAAAATGCGTCGGTGACGAAACCATGATCCTGATCGGCATGCTGTCGTTCGCTGTGGGGATCTACGTCATGTCCTTCGTCACTACGACCTCCCTTTTCTACGTTGGTGAGACGGAGCGCGTTGGTTGATTCAGAACTGCATCATGATGCATCATTTCCACAAACTGTTGTCTAATATAACATCTAATGGCACTGGAGACACCAGTCGGTGTTGATGATGTTCTATTTCTGGGCTGTTAAAGTCAAGCTGTGCAATTTTATCCATCCAGTCTGCCTTGTAGAAAATCTAAGTTATTGAAAACACAGGAACAAGAAAGAGGAAGTGTGAACGATCCGAAGCCATAAAGTCTTCCTATTCTTAGGTTTTCAGACAGTGCTGAATGCTTACAGCTGTACAATAACATACATTTTGTACTCACAAGGAAATAGCAGAGTGCCTTTTATAGTACTGTGTAGTATCTGCCAAATCTCCAGGGTAAAAGAAAAGTGACTGGGATATAATTAAGTGAAATGCAGAATAGCAACAAAACATAACTTTATGCTTTATTATGGTAGCTTATTGGTTTTGAAGTTCTACTTTTCTGACTTCCTATATTAGCTAGCTGTGCTACATTGATAACACTAACGTGTGCAAACAAGAACAACAACTGGAAATTATTTGGCATTCGCTTTTTTTTTTATACAAGTATAATAGGCTATGCTTGCATAACACCTTTTGGTGGTATTTCCTGGAAGAAGAAAAGTAATAATTAATTCAACTTTTTCTCCACAGCCCGTTTATTAAACCTCTTTGCGCTCATCCCGATGCCGACAATCAGGGCCCTGGTTTCTCAGCAGGTTCCTGCGTCACGATGTGGTGAGTTCCTGATCCGGGTCTATGTGTGACGGTAGCAAAACACACTACTAAAAACACAATATTTGCCTATAGAAAAAGACATATGATTTTATCCTTTATGAAAGTCTCTGTTTGTCCTTTTTAGCACAGTTTGATCAAAGCACACACAAAAAAACAATGAACTGTTTTTAGATATTTCACTTAACTGGATACAAACCAGATAAGTCATTGTGGACCTTTTTTAAAAAAAAAAATGACCTCAGAGATATCTATTGCCCCGGGGTTTTTTTTACGTTAAATAGTCTGTGCAGAAATGAAGTTGCAGAGTCATTTACTAGAAACCAGACGTGTCTGGTACAGCTGGTTCATCCAGTCTCTCTGACTTTGTTCACCAATCCTAGTAGATCACAGTTTAAATCTTGTGTTAAGTGGTCCTTTAACATAGCTTTTATTTTATGATTTTTTTTCTTTTATCTTTTTTTTGTTTTTTTTTTTTTTTTTTTTTTTTTTTTGTCAGGCATCGCTCTGACCTGTCTGCAGATGACTCTGAAGGTGGCCGGCATCGTTTACATTCCTGCTTTCACAAAGATCTATCAGAACAGTCTGACCTGGTTCCCAGGGCTAGTCTTTATGATTTCCAGCATCATCACAGTCATTTCCATGATACCCATCAGGTAAGCCACACAGAAAGCTGCTGAGAGAACCATTCCTGGTGCACTCCGTCTCATTTTCGTTCTGTGTGTGTGTGTGTGTCTTTCCTCCAGCATCGTCGGTTGCAGGTCGGCTCAGAGGCAACAGTACGTGAGGATTCAGGGAGACTGAAGAAGCACCACCGACATGAGCAGTGAGCTCTTTTCATTACAAGCAAACTGGGAAATTCATTCAAGTGTTTAGAACATAAACATGCCACTTCCTCAAAGCTGCCAGCGCAGAATTTTTGAAATATATTTGCCTACCATAATTTTCCATTGTGGTGTGATGGATGGTACTTTATCTGACAAATATGCAAAACCCACTGGACAAAAAAAAAAAAAAAAAAACGTTTTTAAGTTTTTGAAATCATGTCAAAGGTTACAGGAAAACGTCATCGTCCAGATTGCTTTATCAGAGGTTTATGTTTATGGCTTCTGCTAGAAAAGGAGAAGTCATTTTGAAAATGACGCACGCAAAATTTCGACACTTTGGAGATTTAGGGGGTGAATCTGAACTGAGAACGTTGCGTAAGTCGGGGTAATGTTTGGCTCACTCAGGTTTTACCCTCGTATGTTACATGTTGCACACTGGAGACTTATTCACTTGAAGCCATTTTTTTTTGTCAGTTTGGTACCAGTTCAGAAATGCTATTGTGAGACTGGTTGACCCAATCACCTAAAATTTAAAAAAGGTCTACTTTTTCCTTTTTTTATTTTAAACTCAAAACATCCTTGGATTCCCTGTTGGGTTCAGGTCAAAGCTCGGCTGGGTCACTGGTGACTGAATGTTTTTACATTTTCATGCTGTAAAGCACTTTGAACTGCATTGTTGCTGAAATGTGCCATAACATAAACTATGTTTGATTAGTATTATTTCGTCAGGAGAAATGTTCTGGGAAAACCAATGTATTATTTTAAGCCTACATAGCTGGGGGAATTAATAATTTGTGACTGTTGTTTTTATCTACAGTATTTAAGAGTACTTTGTTGTTTCTTTTTACTTCATATTTGTGTAGTAAATAATGACATGGTGGAATCAGTGGTGTTTGGTTTTGTACACTTAAGATGTAAATTATTGTTTTACCGTTTCAGCTGTTTACCCAAAATTAAGTTAAAAATTATTCTGTCTAGGAGACTAATTCCTATTAAGCAGTGTAAATATTCTTTTACATGATTCTTATTTTTCACCGTCACTTTTTATACTTGATCACTGAAGTCTGCATTTGCACTCAAACCATGAAAAAGGCATTTAGTTTCTGTAAAAGTAAAACTACACAATTTAAAATGCTTTTATTATAATTACTTTAGACTTATTGCTGCAGCTTAAAATAATTTCTCCGTCTTGAAATGTTCTTATTGTAGTGTTGATGCACTACGGGGTGTTTTTACTGTTCATGCAACCATTTAAATGAAAATAAAGTTTTGAAGACTTAAAACTAAACCATATTAGTCCCGTTATGTTTTGCTGCATCTTCTGACATCATCAGCTTTTCTCGTTGCGCTCAAGTCAAATCAAACGAGTCGTCATTTATCCTCTTTATTATTGGTCCAGTATATCCAAAAAAATGTGTTAAAGATAAATTGCATCAAAACATCAGTATACAAGCTTATTTATAATTACAACAAATTATTAACATTCGAATGTACAATCAGGGACGTAAACAGAGCACACTGGGGTGGAACAGAGAAAAACAAAAATAGATCTAATTAAACGTGTGAGAAGTGGACATTTGGCTTAAGAGCTTTAAAGAAAAAAAAAAAAATAACGTCCCCGACTTAAACACCCGTTCAGTCGGTCCGCTAACGAGTCAAATGGCGGCCGTTGGGATGCAAGTGGACGATAAAAAAGTAAAGAAAAACACAATACATCTCCCTTAATGCAAGAGTAACACTTTTACTAACCAAAGAAACGGTTTTTTTTGTTTTTTCCCCAGAATGAGGTCCTTTGATGCGCTCGTACCTGTTTATAATTTTAAAAACAAAACGATACTTCTCACTCGGGGTGCGTTTAAAGCAAATTAAGCAAAAAGTAGACGTGGAAATTTCAAGCCAAGTTGAGTCCTGTAAGCTTGACATTGAAGCTCTTCCCTTTGTTTCACTTTTAATTACGATTACCGGGATCCATTTAAACTGGTCACCAACATTTATATTCTTGCCACTGTTAGAGCTCAGGACCTCTGAGTACCAATGTAGAGGTTTCCAATTAATTATTTTATAACAGCGCCCTCTACAATTATCAGCACTCCTGGTAAAACAACGTAAAAGAAAAAATAAATAAATTCAGCTTTCTGAAGAAGCATGATCTCCTACTGAAAGTCTAAGTCTTTTTAGTCAGCAAGAAAACTAAGGATAGGAAACTTGTTTTTAAATAAAGTTAATTATTGGCACCGTAACAATTCCTATAAAACAAATGTAACAGATTAGACATTTTTTTAGATTCATCAGAATATCAAGAAACTTTAAATTAGCAACTGATGGCGTTCGTTTCAATGGAGGTAAAAATATGACTTTACAGAAGGAGGACAATTTCTCCTAATCATTTCAAAATGGGAAAGACAGGAAAACTTCCCACTCAAGTCAACTAAACACATAATGTACCCAACTTTATGTCGCCTCCATACACACACAGGGAAAAAATAATAATACAATCGTCAAAGCTCAATGAGAAAACACTCCAGGTGAATTTACTCTGACACAAACAGGATGTATAATTCACACTGGTAAGTATTGGGGAGGACGTGTGATGCTGTGGGCCTTTTTCTCTCCCACAGCGTCACTAGTGGCTCGCTACGTTAGCCACAGCTTATTTATGTTGAGATTAGACTGCTGACAAGGATTGGCTTAGTTTAAGACTCTTCAAACATCTTTACCAGAGGTGCCAATAATTGTAAAAGTCACTGTTTTTAAGCAAGTATTCAATGTAATATTAAAAAAATAGTTTGTTTTAATACAGCAGTATCATAGCTACAAAAAAAGCAATAACAGGTATTTGATCTCGTCTGCTCCCCTCTTTAGTGTGTCGTCATATTTTGATATTTTTAGTTTGAACCTCCGTTACAGCTGCCTCCGGTCGTCATAGCTACCTGTAACCGTGATCTCAATCCGGCACTCACATGGCCAAAAAAAAAAGAAAAAAAAAAAAAAAAAAAAGCATTTTATTCCCTTCATTTTTATCCTTTTTTCACATCTGATAGAACAGATAAAGAAGTAGCTGCTGTAAAAGGTTAAAGGTCAAGATAGACAAATAAGAATGAGGAACAAAAAAAAACAATGAAGCTGACAACATCTACAAGTTGCAGACACTAAATCAGCCTTCGTGTTTGGTTGTAGAGAGGGCAGGTCCGGTAATGTGGCATCAGCTTCAAAAAACAAAAACAAACAAAAAAAAAAAAACAAAAAAAACGTACCTTTATTTCAAAAATCTCTTCTTTTACCAGACAGATAATACTGTCTGAGGCTACATCTGTGCAAAAATGAACAAAAGCTAAACGTTAACGTGGTGTTGGGTTAATGTCACGTAGCTGAGCTCGCCCTGAAGTCATTGGTCACATTTTGCTACTTAACGCCAAGTCACACCGACTCGAGCACACACAGCTGAGGAGAGGGAATAAATGATGGCGTTTTCAGCAGGTTTCATCTTCCTCCTGTGGTTGAGAGCCATCAAAGGAGCACCGTTTGATCCAAGGGCAGCAAAGTGATTCTTTTCCTCTTTAAAGGCGGTATCAAGTAAAGAATATAAGAAAAAAAAAAAAAAGGATGTTTTCGGCAGGCTGCCTCCGTGTTTTCTAATATTTTCCAATTGAGTCACAGGCTCTGCAGATGAGAGCACAAAGTCAATACTGTTAGCAAGCTGAACCCCTGTATACTGGAAAGGATTTGCTCCGTCAACCAGCCTCATGCAGTTTCTGTTTGATAAGCAACTGAATATATAAGAGTGGAATCAATGGAATCACCTTGGATGTAGATCCTGCAACAGGTTGTCGTTCTGAAGCAAAATCACATTTTTACTGGGCGGTTTTAAGTTGCATCAGGGTTGAATGATTCACCATTTCCAGCTATAATTTTTTTTTTTTTTGCATTAAAGCACTCACTTTTTCCAAGGCCATATTCCACACTGCTCAACATTCTCAAGTTTATAGCATGTCGAGGAAGGCTGGACTATTGAAATACGGTGACTTTAAATGATCGTTACAACCGAATTCAGCAGAAGTAGAGAATGAGAAGTAGAGCAAAGCTTTGCCACTAGGTGGTGCTATTATGCACTTATCAATAGAGCCCAGGATGTCAAACTAGGATATTTCCTGGTTTAGTTTTATCATGACATTTATTATCGTTGATTTAACTGGTGCTGGAAGTGGGACAATATTTATAAAATTTTGTTAAACAGCCACTAGAGGGCTTCAAGGTTGATATTCTGTGATGATTTTTGGATATGTGGATCCAAAAAAAAAAAAAAAAAAAAAAAAATTATGCTTCAGTCGAAAAATGATTTAGTCAAATTAAAAGTTTTGATGTAACAATTTCAGAGTTTCACCTTCTAATAGAAGCAAATAATAATAATAATAATAATAATCAAACCAAACTTTTTTGCAGTTATTCCCATTCATCAAGAGTAAAACAAATAGCCACAATCCAATAAATTTGGTAAACAAACATTTATATACACATATATATATACAATTTTAATCCACATAAAATTGTATCACATCAAATAAACAAACCTATAAATTTAGCTAATAATTAAAAAAATAATTCAAAATTTATTAATGAAAAATTAGTCAATTTATCACATTACTTACAACTACGTAAATTTTGTCATGTGTTCTGAGTTGCATTTGAGAAAGAAATTATTAAAATTATCGAATCTAATTGGTTAAGCTGCACACCAATCCTCTTGTCTGTAGCAAAGCTAGCCCCGCCCAAACACTTCCATTACCAATTCTAACAAAACAAGCAGATGAAAGTGTTAAGTAAATTTAAAAAGAAATCATCATGACTGGTTTTAGATCAAAAACAAAAAAAATCTATTTTCTCATTTCGTTATTCTTTATAATAAAGTTTTTAATAAATAATAATCACTAAATGTGTTAATTTCTTTACAACTTTAATTGAATTATCGCATATATAAATATTTATTTACCAACTTATTGATGTATTGAACTGCGGCATTTACGGTCCTCGATACCCATTTGGCTCAGTGTGAAAACGGAGAGAGCGGACGAAAAACGCCTCTCTCCACAAACGTAGTTAAATAAACACAAGCAGCATTGGCAACAACAACAAAAATAACACACACAAAAAAAGACCGTTAATCTGAAATATTAGGTAGAAAAAGTCCATAAAAATAGAAAAAAAGGAAAGGAAAAAAGACGGATCTGTACAGAAGATTCTCTACTGTCCCAGCTGACCTCAAACACACCACTCATTACCTTTCTTCCCAGGCCGAATCGGCGTGGAAGGCGACCGCTCTCCGTGTCACCGTCATCGTTCGTCTCAGGGCAGCAGGAGGCGGACCGCTGGCGGTTAGAACCTGCTGCCCCGTCGCTGGTTTTCCTTGGCTTGGCTGAGTGTGACGTTCAAGTACGCGTTCAGTTCAGTTCGGTTCAGTTTGTCTCGCTCGTTTTGTCCTCAGTCTGTTTTTCCTGGAGGAGCGTTATGAGGGACTCCCACGCTGCCTGGCTCTGCATAGAGGGGAGATTCATTTGGAATTACAATTCCTACCTCTCCAGATTATCTTCAGAAACAAACAAACAAACAAAAAAAAAACAATAAAAGTAAAGCATATTTTAATTTGTAAATGTCACCATGGATCAAACGGTGTTTACAGAGATGAAAAAATTAGTCCACATGCTGCTGATGCTGCTTTTATGCTCTGCTGCATTCAGGAGAGCGTTGGACTCTCACTGGGCAGGCGGGGCTAAACAGTGGCGTTTTTCTGAGCCGTGTTGCTCCGCCTTAACTGGACCTACAACTGAAACGGGCCCAAGAACGGTGCAGAACAGGTCGGCCATTTTTACAGGGGAGACAGAAAATAATGGCTATTAAAAAATAGCTGTTAGTTGCATTGATTTTATTTAGGGGTATTAGGATAAAGAGCGGTGAGGGTGCATACAAATGTATACCACATTTCATGTTTTTCATTTGAAATAATTTGTAAAACCAATTTATCCTTTACTATCTATCCACTTAGGAACTCTCTGGGTACCAACAGGTTTCAGTAAGACTTTTTAAGACCTTATTAATGCCAACTGAATGAAATTTAAGACACAAAGAGCAATAACTCTATGTGAGGGTTGGGAGATTCTTCTGTATAACTCGATTTACAGAAAGTGACGTCTCTCACTCTGCATTCATGTCCGATGGAACTCGCATAATGACACGCAAATTTGAGGAGAAAATTGAAAAATGTTCAACTTTTGTTGCCGTCGCGTCGTGTGTGTGTGTGTGTGTGTGTGTGTGCTGGACTCGCCCCGAGTGTCAATGACTTCAAGATTATTTAAGGCCAGTTTACATGTTGTTTTATTTTTAGATACAGAAATCTAAGACTTTTTAAGAATGCGTGGACATCCTGATTGTGCAAAATTGCATAAAATCTCAAGGCAACACAAAAGTTTGGGGTCGTGGCATTAAACAAAAACTGTGACATCACACGGCGGAGAGCCGGGTTGACCTCGGCCCGCGTACCTTCTCATAGTAGCTTATGTTTTTGTCGGCCATGCCCGTGAGGAGATGTTTGAAGTCTTGCCTCTTGTTCCGCTGCCAGCGTTCCCAGTCTGCTTTCAGGTCAGCGTTGAAACACTCCACTTTGTCCTGGCACTTCTCCACTTCCACAGGAATCTGCAGCAGAGCAGACAAAACTAGAGCTAGCGACCCTCCACGAACTGCAACGTGGAGGGTGGGGAAAGAATCGGGACACACTTTTACTGTCTAGATGTGCAACAGACACGGCGACGGTTCACTAGAACCGGCTGAGAAGCAAACAACCCTAATAGACAATTGTGAAATTCAATCAAACTAGAGGAAGGTTGTTGCTTACGGGCGTCCGATCTTCTTGTTTGCGCAACACGGCCGCTTCCAGGCGGCCCTCGTACTCCGCTTGAACTTGGTCTCGCTTCCTCAAAACGTTCTGTTATCAGACAGAAAGCGTTCCACGTTAGTAGGAACACAGCGCAGCCTCGGAGAAACAAGCATGTGACGAATGCGAGACGCAGACAGTTCTGCTGAGTCTTGAGCTGGACAGGACATGATGCATGCAAAACAAAAAAAACAAAACAAAAACACTGGCGGAACCTTTTCTAGTTTGGGACCAAAAGGGATGCAGCTCTGGGTTTGAAAGGCAGTGGAAGAAACTTTCTTCTTTCTTCATTATATTTCACAAAAAATATAATGAAGTCAGTTATGTTTCTTCATGATACTGATGAAACATTCATACTGCAACAGTCTTCAGTCAGAGGCCTCTTCAGATTTGTGGGAAGACTGACTGCTGCTGGAAAGCATAGACTGTGGGCACGACAATGACTCTGAAGATGATAGGAGTTCGGTTTTATTCCCCAAAAACCCATCGAAACGGTAGAGAAATGTATATAATATCGGTCCAAATGTTCATATTGTTGCATTCCCAATAACAGTTCTGATAACATTGATCTTACCTTCATAGACTCAATGTAGAGAATGTATTCTCTGAGAACAGGAAGGAAGTCCTGGCTCATGTTGTCGCTCAGATCCTCCAGAGCGCCGCAGCTCGTCGTCACGCAGCCGGCCACGCCCTCCAGGGGGCGCTGCAGCTGCTCCTCTGACCCAGCCCAGGTGGAGTAGACGGCGCCGTACTCGCGCAGCTCCGTCAGGTACTCTGGTAGCAAAAAAAATTTTAAAAAAATGAAAAGACAGCGGGGTTAAGTTGAGCGAGGCGTTCTCGTTGCTTCGCTGGAGAAGAAACTGGGACTAAACAGTCCGGCACGCTCTCTGCAAACCGATTACTTTTAAATAGTCCCCGTCTTATCTGGGAACATGGTTGTGTCTGACGCCGAATGTCAACAGCCCCAACAGATGGTGACGGGGAACATTTCGCACGGCAGGCATTTACAGCAACACACATCGTGCGTGAGTCAGGAGAGCAGGGGGTCAGCAGCAGCTCTTCCTCCCTTTCCTCACTGCTGAGTGCAGGAACAGTTTCTCTTTCACACATACAGCTTATTTTAGACGACCCGTTTGTCTGGATTTATGATGGAAAAGGTTCAAACTATCATTCAGATTAATGTCACCTGCATGTTTATTGCTAGAACGGATGTAAAAATTGCAGTCAACGTTAAAACACTGCAAACACAAAATCTAGTGGAAATATCTTAGTATACTTAAAATAAGACAAAACCAAGAAGATACAGGAGCTTGTGTTAATCAACAATTCCTTAATATTTATGAAGAAGTCCTGGATATGGGTAGAAAAAAAATCTCCCAAAGGACCTGGTACTTTTTCCATCAATATTAAGGAATTATTGACCAAAACAAATTCCAATTTCTTGCTGAAAAGTTACTTTTGTCTTATTTCAAGTGCACAAAGATATTTGCGCTAGAAACCAGACCAGACATATTTGGCGAAATGGTGTGTTTTTGCAGTGAACTGCTGTGTGTGTGTGTGTGTGTGTGTGTGTGTGTGTGTGTGTGTTGTCCAGCAGGCTCTCTGATTATACCCGACTGCTCTCGGAGGATCCTCTGAGCGATGCGATCGATGGTTCCCAGTTTCTGGCTGAACGTGTCCAGATACTCTCCCATGGCGCAGAACTCCGCCGGCCGCGCCCGCAGCTTGTAGCCTCCGGCCACGTTCTTCACAGATTCGCCCACTTTGGTCAGCAGGGCCAGACCCTGACGCTTGTTCAGGTCCTGCAAAGACGTGCGTCGTCAGGGTAACCAGTAAGGTTTTAAAAAAAAAAAAAAAAAAAAAAAGGGGCCCTATTTATTAACATGTGCAGCAGACGGCGTCTTTATGGAAACCTGGTGCCACTTTTTATAACGACTGTGAACTTTAGGGACTTCTTCTTCTTCTCTCTTAACAGTGTGGTAAACAACATCCGGTTTACCTACAGACTTGTTTATAGCAGTTCAAGTTCTTCTTCTAAACTTTTAACTGACTGACGCTACCGTAAACATGAGCATGTTTTGGTGAGTAACTATACTTGCATAGTCACATCCTGAGTAACTGGGTGTCATCATATTTACACCACAGATCAAGGGGTCAGGAACCTTTAGCCGCTAAAAAGTTTTGTCTCATCAATTTAGAGCTGCAAAATGTTAAATGGCCTTTGAAAAAAAAAAAAAAAAAAACAGCAAAGAATTTTTTTTT